TTTACTGAATCTCTCTTCCCTCTCCATCTCCATTATTACTGCCTTAGACAGGTCCTCCTCATTCTCTCCTAAATAATGACTATCACATTCCCGGTCTCCCCATCTATAGTGCAGCACCTGTATCCCCTGTACCCTCCAAATACTTCAACAACCTAAGCAACATACCTATGAACCATTACAACTCTGCTTAAAATGCTTCAGCAACTGGACAAGATTTCAAGATAGAATTGATGCTCTTGAATATGTCACACCCTCAAAATCTAGCACACAGCCCAATATCTAACACATAGTGGGACAAAAAGACTGCATCTTATATTAAGTCTTGCTTTCTATAGTGTTCTTAGTAAGAATGCTGCCTTCCCATGAACCTGGAACAGAGTAGAGATTTGACAAGTATCTAGAAATTCATAGATAGCTTTTACTTGATTACTCAGAGCTACAAAATGCCTCCTGTAGCAAATGACATTAGCAAAGTTTGAGCAACATAAAAGTTTCTCCAAGATATTTCTCACCCCAGATTTTACAGCCTAATGGAAGATCCCCTGACATTGACTGACATTAAACCTGAACCCACATGGAGAGTCGGCCATTGGTATTTCTGTGAAGGTAAAATGGACTTTTGTTGAACAAAAGCTCTACCTAAAACACTCTTGGCTATAAAACCACAGTACCTTTCTCCAGCACCCTGTATCCCCTGTACCCTCCAAATACTGAGAATCTGGAACCCAAGAAACACAGCATGCCTAGGTGAGGCGGCATGGGAACAGAAGTTTTTCAGTGACAGCCCGCAAGCCTCTCCCAGCCCTGCCAGTGTCTGTTCCCCACATGGATCTCATCCCCTTCTCACTTGAAGTCTTTAATGAAAGAAAATATGCCCAACAGTCTCCTGAGTGTTTCAGACTTGTGCTGACACCTTGGCACAGTTATTTCAGCATAGGGTTACGCTCGTTTAACCTAAGAAACAAACAGCCAAATCTTCAGTTCTTTTCAGTTGATTTGAAAAACTAAAGTTTTCACTTCATCTCTGAATATCGCCACCTCCTTGAGGCTCACACCATGAGCACAAGAGAAGGAGTTGGGGGCAGAGCAGGTTTCATATGGGCAGAAATCATGCCTGGGCTGTTCACCGCACGTAGTCAGGAAGAGCTCAGGCCATGCGTGTTTTGTGAATAACACATGTCAAGCTTTCTATGATTCAAACACAGGAAGTACCAGGTGAGATGAGTGCCACTCTCTCCCACAAAGGACGTTCCGGACAGCAGCAAGTAGACCAACCTCAGGGGCAGACATCCAGGTGCACTCACAGCCACTGAACTGCTCAGCAGCATGAAAACCGAGCAAGGGGACCGTGATTTCAATGTATAAATATCTGCTTCAGGAAGAACTTCCATTTAGCATCTTATCTTCTGGCAATGGTTAATGGAGGAATTTTATTTAAAAGAATTCTTAAGAAAATGCTACAATCAAGCTTTTATTGGGGATGATTTCAATATTTCTTCTCCACTAGCACCATCTCTGAAAGCAAGAGCATTTAAATGCTTGGGATAAAAGAACTATGAATAACAGAAAAAGAAACAATCTGTTTCATTCCCTCTGATCCTCCTTAATCCTTAAATTCAGGCTGTTTTCTGTTCTTAGATAAAATATTGTTACTAAAATCTAAGACTTTAAACTTTTTAAATCAGATTTACTACTAGAGGAAGTAATCATTGATTAATTCATTCATGTGTTTATTTTAATGAAAAACTAACCATAAAACTAAGCAATAGTAATTAGTCTAATTTGTGATCACCATAGTAGGATGCATGGAATGCACATCTGTCTGTTTCAAGGACAACATAAAATGGGCTCTTGGAGATACCTAAGGATTGTACCAAATCTAAAAGTTATGTTGAAGTTTTCCCAAGAAGCTAAATTCTAAAGGTTGATCCATTATTGTTTCTTTTAGGCCACAATCTATAAATTATGTTTTTTGTTTATTCAGCAGTCACCTATTGGGTTATTGCTGGGTGCCAAGAACCAGAGGTTCAGTGGTTGGCAAGCTCTCACAGCTTCCAGTGGAGGGGACAAGATGGCCCTTGGTAAGCTGGATTAAACAAAGGCAAAAGGAGTGAGGCCATTCAGCCAGGAGAGGACAGTCAGGGAAGGATCACGTAAGTGGAACAAGGCAGACTTGAAAGATAAAGAACCCGGGCCAAACAGGATCAGATACAGCAACACAGGTCCGGTTCAGGAAGATCAGCCACAGAGTGGAGGGCAGAACCACTGTGAGAGTGGTAGAGCCGCTCACTGGGGGCCTGTACGTTATGTTCTGAACTGAGAAGTCATCTGGAGATCAGTGGTAGCCACGGAGCCAGCATGAGTGGGTAAGGGACACCATCAGCCTTATTTATGCTCAAGAAAATTCATTTAGTAGTTGCATGACGAGGATACTGGAGAGGAACAGGTATGAAGGCAGAGGGAAGGGGCAAGTGTGGTGTGAAGACAGGGAAATATTTAAGAGAGAGCAACAGTTGAACCCAGTGAGTTAGCACCGTAGGTCCCCTGTGCTCCTTCAGCTTTGAAAATTCCACTGTTTCCTTTTGATGAGAGAAAATAATGCTATTAGGTAATGAACTACACGGCTCCACAGAAAAGGACCATGCTACGCACAGTACAATTTCAAATACTTAGAATTTAGTCTTAAATTCCAAGTACCATTGAGCACACCAACCTCAACAACTATCAGGCCAAGAGCAACAAAAGTGCCTTAAAAATACCTTCCTTCCGCTGTGAGATGGGACTCAGCTCGTGTTCACACCCCAGAGCCAAGCAGTGCTACACGTAGAGCTCAGTAAATGTTAGTTTAGTGGAAATGAAGTGTAATTTGGGATGTGATTAGGTCAAATGTGTCAAACCTACCCAAACCCTGTCGCATAAAAATAGGCCTCCAGTGCTACATTTT